AGCCAGTCCGTCTGTGAATACATTTCATTTTAATATCAAATGGGCAATACTTTGAGCAGTGATATTTCATTGCTCAGAACAACAATTTAGTTTAGAACTGCCCAACAGCAGTTTGAATAGTCTGGATGAGTATTATGCAGATGACTGTCGTGCAATAGGAAGGGTTATCTTGCATTTCCTGAATCTAGAACTCCTCAAAAATCTGTCTATAGACTTTTTTCTTTACTGTGCAAAAGTTCCATCTTCTCCTAGATTGAGCCATTATTTTCTTTCATAAAATCAAATTTGGACTTACTTAAAAAGGAGAATTTCACATGTAAAACTCTACAAATTATCCAAGTTCTCTTCCTCGTTGATTTTGATTCAAAGACATGTTAACTGCAGAAGTATCCCAATAAAATCACATCAAGATAGAAAAGAAAACAACTGAACAGCTACATTCTTGTCTGGAATAAGCAGTTTGAAATTTCTGAATAGCTGACACTATTTTGTTGCTCTTTCTACTGCAAAAAATAGATGGTAATGAAAAGTTCTGTGAGATTCACCAGGGTTGAGTTAGGAAAGTTGGTGCATTCCTTTGTATGGAAAACATCTCTGCTAAACCAGTCAGGTAAGTAATAAACTATTCACTTCTCCCGTTTCCTCTGCTGAGACACAAGTGACATGAGTCTCTTTTCCTAAGACTCTCGGACAGTACGAAACTCCATAAGCAAAGAATATGAGAAGCAGATGCTAAAAACGATGCAGGACTGTTCATTCATAGAAATGACTACACTCGTATTCCTAGTACCTCATGCTTTTCACTTCCCTGTGAGCTCATACTTTGGTTTTCAAAATACATTTCAACTGTAAGGCCTTTGATGCAGGGACAGTTTCCCCCTTTAAAAGAAGTTTCAGCACAATAAAGAGCTGATCTTACAGCATCCAAGTGACGCTCTAATATAAATAACATTAATGTTGATTCTGATGATGAGTGATGACAAAGCACGGGTAAGTCAACAGAAAAGGCAACAAAATAATCATTTCTTCCCTCCTTTGTGATTTCACCTGCTGCGTAGAACAGATGGGCACACTGTGTATTCTGAAAACGTGAAATATACTTGAGAAGACTCTATAAATCTTCAAAGTGGGGACGATGATATCACTGATAGCACTGCAAGGAGATGCTTGATCACAACAATGTCATATTCTCCCCCAGGAAAGAGATGGACAGACAACATGGGTTGAAGGGAAACTGGAGAAAAACTACATAATAATGTGTTTGTAAAAAGTGGATCCTCACTGACCAACCTCGAGGAAAACTGCTCCTTTGGTTTTAAAAATAAAGATGAAAAATATAAAAAGTTTAAGGCTTATACACTGAGAACTGAAAGGTTCCCCATAATTGGGCAGCTGATCTACAGTAGTAGCCTTTAGCTGACTGGCTTGTTTGAAAGCTATTCACTTGCCTTATTCTAGTTTGAAGATGAATATTAAAATCCAAGCTTGGAATGGAAATAATATTGTATTCACAGGAGACGTTCTTTCAGGGAGAGAAGGACCAAGAGCAAACAGTCCTTTAGCTGAAAGTTTACCTCTAAAAGCAGGATTTTAACCAAAGTGCTGTCCAATTGTCAGGGCAGCTGATGGAAGGGTGATAAGATGCCACAGGAAATATCCTGTAAACATGCCTGTTAAGAAAGACCCCTTCAGAAGAATATCTGTTCTGGGTGGCCCAGTTGGAAGATGAAAAAGGGAATTTCTAGATCTCCAGCATTGTACAGATAAGATAACAACTTTGGTGAAACCACGAAAATGAGGAAAGACCTTATCACCCTGAATGAAAGAGTAAAGTAAAAAACTTTACTTTTCAGCATAATTACGTAAACCAGATGCTTTTAAGCCCCCATCTTCTTTGGATAATCATAGAGCAGCTGTAGCCAGACAACATGGCTCATTATAAAGATTTGCTTTAAAAAAATTGCACTAATTACCTGTAAGATTCAGCCCAGATCTCAAGATTTTAGTTTTAAAATTTGTAACTCGATGCAGACTAGGATCTGGTTACATGCAAGATACCATTCCTCTATTATGTACTATCACAGCAGTGACCTGTCCAAGCTACACCCCTCTGATTAAAAAGGTGATAAGCTCAAAGCCAGTCATTTGTCATGCAATGTCCAGCACTCTAGAATTTACTTCTAATCTATGTTTATTAGAATCTACATTTTTTTCATCTCTGTAGCACCCTGCAAAGTTCACTGCTATTGAAACCTATGGCAAACAAATATACACAGACAGCTATACAGGTACCACAGAAGAGATTGTGTCCTGAAAAGAAGCTCAAATCCTTTCCTTTCGAAATTGGTAATGAGCAAATAGAATTGGAACTTAGACATTTTGGGTGATTATGCCACAAAGGGAGTACATTATTAGCAAATTAGGAAAAGCTTAGAAAAGTAGGAAAGTCCTTGTGCAACAAACTTTCCACCTCTATTATTATAGGCTTGTTGCCTGGACTGGAAATGTATTTTCAAAAAGGCTACACATCCTGGTTTACCATTGTTTATAATTAAAAAATAATTTCAGGAAGGAGAAAACCTAGCCATTCATTAACGCTCAATTTCTATGTTTTTAAAAGCAATGAAAAGTAAGAAAGGTCAGTCTCGAAATAAAGCACTTTAGGGCCAAATTATGCTGATAAGTTACAGCCAATAAGCCATATGGAATTCAGTGAAACTACAGAGTTGTACTCAAAGCAAAATTTGGCCTTGTAAATAGAAACAAATGGAACCATTTGCAAAGATACTCTGGCTAAATCTATGAAATTGAAGCTCAATGAAATAAAAATTACAATAGCTTTGAGTATACACTATTGAGTGCATGAAACAGCACTAGAACACTTACATATCAATTATAAGTAAAAGATGTACTAGTTATGCACATTTAAGATGTTTTTCGTGTACTTTTTTTTAATTTTGGTTAGTACTCTGATGTAAGCCTGATCAGACTTCTGTCACACAAACAGATTATGCAAATAGTTTAATTTTCCCTTTTTAGTATCTATAAAAAGATAGTCCTCCCTGATTCCCCAGTCTCCCATGGTTTATCATCAGTTGACATTTTTAAGTGACATTGCAGGCTTTGTATCACTTCAAAGGTGCGATTGGCTACCTTAAACTTAAAATATATCAAAAGAAAACAAAATAGAAAGTTTACATCCTAAGAGGAAAAAAAACCCACCAGTTTGCTGTCATATATTTGTTCTGAATTATATCCAAACAACTACCTGAAATGTGGGGTTTCTTATTTGAACAAATTATAGTTAATTAGCCCAAAACATGTTGAAACAAACATTTGTCCATGAGAAAAAGCACTGTGACACTTACACTTAGCAAGCCAAACATGGTATATTAAATAACTAGGATGGGAGATGAAAGTCAGGTTTCACAGTTCTATTGTAAATTATTATTACAAAGGAGCTACAGAAACAGCATATCATAGGAACGATGAGAGTTAATTCAAGTTTCTAAAGAGCTTTGCAGTCTAAGTATAGCTTATGCTACCAAAGTTAAAAAATAAGCTCTAGAAAGCATAATATACTTATGATTACCATCCAAATTATAACCATGCTAACTAATGCAATGTAAACAGTTGAGTCATAGAAATACTAAAGAACATCCACCTAAAGGAAATCCATCACAATGACTAGGTTTTGAATGATAAAATGCAGATGAAAATTGTCTATGTTAAAATACTATTTCTAATACCTACTACATACATACAGAAACACAGGAACCATATTTTAGACTGCATATTTGCAAAAAAAAAACCAGTTATTTACATATTAAGCAAAAACCTGACAATAGCTAAAAAAAATCTCCTCCAATTTCTTATACCTAGAAAGCTGTCTATAAAAAATGAACATGTATGCATTTCTGTTTTGACTGTGCAAAATCAGACTTGCTATGCCCACAGGTAGCAAATCCTTTAACGTTAGGATAGGCACCATCTTTACGTCTGGAAAAAACAAAGTACATTCAGTTCCTCGTGTATCTTCTAACAAGAAAGGAGACTGTAAAGAAACTGAGCAGTGTTTAGATGCGAGTACACCAGAGAAACGCTGGGGACTGTGGGAACTGTCCCCATCAGGATTTAAGGGATTCCAGCCAGAAATTAAAAAAGATATACATTCTGTCATGATGCAAAAATGACTATTTGATGCGAAGTGTCAAAGTTCATGAAACAAAGAACAGATTTTTCAGTTAAATGTATGCCCAAATCTCTATACGTTATCATGACACCCCTGCCCCCAATCACAACAACACAATCAGCTGGAAAGGAACAAAGTTGTCTTTGTTTACTGGAAGAGGTTTGCATAGTAGCCAGCTGTAAGATGTCACTTTCAATAAGGTTTTTTTTTCTGTGTTTTTTTATACGACAAAGTTCATGTTATTTTAAGGAATTTTGACTCCTAATTAGAGGCAGCAGATTATGAATTCCACCAGGGAGATCTGAGGTCTGGTTCATTCCTTCTCCCCTTCTCTCAACTTGTCATCTCAGTGAGCACCAGTGACTGGCAGCAAACTCAGTGGAAAATGCTAAATAGGTAGGAATTCCTGGACCTTCAGGTTCATTTATACCATTCTTGTAGACCCAAGAGGTAAAAATAATACAATTCAAAAGCAAAAAATTTCAGTTCATAACTGGTATGAAAACCACCCTTAAAAAAAAGTCTGATTGCTCTGCCGGGTGAAAAACAATGAAGCCATCATGCTAGCTTTAAAGTTATCCAATTTCAGCGAACACCTTTGATCTACTTCAGTGTTCTGTTACTAATCTACAGCTGACGAAGAAATATGCAAAATGTAGAAACTACAATGAACAACAGAACCTTATCCTATCTAGACAGATACATTACAGAATAGTACAAGTCACAAAAAAGTGAATCAGTTCTCAGTCTCTTGATACACAAAACCATGAATTTCAAGAGCAAAGGAAACCTACTGATTTCTGCTTACCTGATATGGAACAATACTCCCATGAGCTGTACCCCAGCGCTTTGCTTCCATTTTGCAATTAAGGTAATTAGCTGCTACATGAGTAAGGCATGCAACCTGGAAGCACAGAAAAAATAGAAGTATTCAGGAAAGTTCAACCTTCATTGACAACTTCTTTAATATTTCTGTATATTTATGTGTGCTATTATGCATGGAAGTTAAAAATATTTGTACAAAAGTATACAATATGTAAGTGCCTTGTTCAAAGTCCAGAAGTTCAGAAGGAAGCCTGATAATCGTGGGGTAGAATTCACACTTCCTGAATTTCAACCCCATGCTTAAATCACAAAGACTCTCAGTCACAAGATTATTCTTCTGCTTTCCCCTTTCTCATTGCACATACCCAAACTATGGAAAATATTGCAGAATTCTTCAGCTCCCCACATGCTCTATAATATTAATTAAATGGTAGCCCTCAATAAATCATTTGCTACTAAAAGATGAGGAGAAATTTATCAAGTTATTACTCAGAGAGACAAAACTGGAAAAAGATTAATTTTCTGAAAAATATGGCATGCTCAATTTAATGATCATAATCTGAGGGGGTAAATATGAAAATAATCTGTATTTTGCAACAGCAAGAAGGGATATATCTTAGGAAAAAAGTTAATAGTTATGATGCAATAATGCATGAAAAAATCAGAGGTTCTGTTATAATTAATGGAAGATTTTTTTATTATTATTATTTCTTTGGGAGAATGCAGTTTGTGACTGTATTTCTTGAAGCCAAGTAATATATTAAAGCATTACATTTACCACAACAGCTTTTCACCATTCATCAGAGACAATGTGTTTGTTTTATGCTGTCTTTAAACTAGTTGAGACAGTAAGTGCAACTATAAGTTTGCTTAAACAATAGGCCACAACTTTTTTTTCTCCAAAAATCTGGGTTTTTTCTTTTTAGATTTCTCTTCCAAAGGGACAAATTAAGTATGCTAATCAAGGTGTTTGTGCTATTCTGTGTCTATATTCTGATTACTGTCATGCCTCTGGTAAGCATCTAGATATGGCACACTTCCCAGATGCAAGAAAGGTGAGTAGACAGCCTACAAGTGCAGCAGTCTCATCTAGATTAAAACATATAACAATTAATTCAGCGTCCACTAGTAATATGTGAATTACATCAGAATTTCTAGAAAAAAGGATGCCACTTCAACTTCTTTCCCGTTCCCCATATATCCTGAAAAGGCAATATGAAAGTGTCACTTTCACATTCAAAACAAATATTTAACTCTAAGTCATGGACACAGACACCTAGGAAAATAGAGAACAAATGAGAATTTAACCACTGCCAAAAAAACCCTGCCTATCCATATATACCAATTACAATACACAACACCATGTTCCTGTGTGCAGTTGAAAAACACTTTATATTTTGATTTAAGTTGCAGCTTATTGTATCTCCGTGTCACCTCATTCAGCTAAAAGTAAAAGACTCCCTGGAAAATCTAACAATTAGGGAAATGGATTTGGGAAGTAGGTAGACAGGACTTTTTCCTTCTGGTTCACAACTTTCTCAGCAGCATAGAATCAAACACACCATGATTAGAGAATTTAACGCGTCATTAAAGTATGTTCCATATAATTTATGAATAACGATATTCTAGTCCTACTGTTCATATAATTTTTTAATTTGGGATCACACTACATACTGATACTGCTTCTACCACTGATATTTCTTCTTCCACAGCAATTGGCTATGAAACGATGATGGATTTGTTACCATATTAACAGCTAGATATCATTCTATGTTTATTTCTTTAACATTAGACAGCTACTGTGTTTCACCCAAATTTTACTAATAGGTGAGATGCATCTACTACAACGGACTTTTTACACATATAGACACAACAATGCCTTATGTGAAACATACGCATTTAACTTTTCACAGTTCTGGAAGGAAATGCTATACCACTGTTAACTCTAGGAAGGACATGCTGAACTAAAACCTAGTGAAAGAGAAATCTTAACATATTGTTATTGAATACAATGGAACCAAGATCTCACTCCATTTACTTGTTTGCAATCTATGCAGCTGAAAATAGAACCATGCATTTCAAACGACACACAGCTTCTATCCTTAAAAAAAAAAACTCTCTTCAACAGAGTTTTCCAGATTGTTTCAACATCCTTGGAGAGATGAATATTATTTCTTTAATACTGGAAAAAACACAGGTATAGATTTCTCTGAAGCACTTGTACATAGTACAATAGGAAAACATAATATTCACTAGAGTATTACTTATATATTATTATTATTTAGATTTTGAGTTAGATTATTGAATTCCACCAGTAAAGCTTCTGTTTAAAGGCGGCTTGTCTCAGTAGCAACAGACAGCAAATGCCACGGAGGTCAGAAGCTTAGTAAAGATCGAGCATTCTTGGAACTAGAAGTTGCCTAGACTACATCAAGGCCTCAGTTCAACACAGTATTTAGTCTGCAGCATAACTCCATTTCATCCAATGTACTGATCGTTTGCATAAATACATACACTTGTATGTCTTGTCAAAACTCTTTTACTTATCATTAGTTTTATCATTAAAGCACAAAGAAAAAGGTTTTCAGCTCCCTTTGACTTTCTCCTCCAAGTTGGGAACCTTATTTATAAAGTCAAATTAGCCAGCCAAAAACTATTCTTATTATACAAATAAACTTTTTTTGACTACATCTAAGAAAGTATTTCAGTGCTTTGTACTTTATGTACCAATTCACTCAGCTGAGTGAACCCTTTGACAACTTTCCCCCTTATTAATAACTTTCCGATGAATTCAGACTTAAAGATTTTATTCTAGTTCCACTGTACCATGAAACTGTTACAGCTAGTCCCAGGACTACCTTGCATTTTTTCTCTCTCTTCCCAGATTTGCTCATTCTCTTTGCTCTCCCAAAGACACCATCTACAAAATACTGCAGTATGTTAAAACAAAAATAGGGTACAACTTTAATACAGATAAAGTATTTTTTAATCTCTATTTAAAACTGCTTTCCTGAAACCATATCAACCCATTTCTTTTCTATTTTAATTAAGAGCAAATCCATAAAAGTTACCTTTGCACTTGTAACATTAAAGCAGATATAACACAATGATACAGACATCTCTGTATTCATTTGCTTGCAGAGACAGATCTATCTACTGCAAATGTGTATTATCTAGTGTCTATAGATAAGTAATTCTTTATTTCACGTCAATAAAGGGAACACACACCTTAACATTCCTTTGTGATGTTAAGTTGACGGACAAATCAAGTATTTGCTTTACATACCTACCTAAACCAGAACAAAGAGAGCACTGCATTAAGATCTGAAAAATTATGCTCAGCTTATGACAGAATCAGACAGATGGGGAAACAAGATATTAAATGCCAGGAGGTGAGCAGACAAAGAAAAGAGACAGAATTTCAAAAGATTTTTTTTTAAGATAGCACATCAAACATAAATTATTACAGTGAGTTCACTGACTCAATCAATCATTTACATGCAAGCTCAACAAGTGCATATGAATAAAAAAATGAGACAGGTAAGTGGGAAGATGAGGAAATAACATTTTAATTAGATTCTTCACTTTCTTCTCTCTCCAATTTTGTGCCTGTCTTACTGTCATGTATCCTAACTAGGCTCGACATCCAAATTAATTTGTATTTTTACTCATTCTTTGTTTACTTTTTTTTAAAGTAGGCAGGTATGCTGTCTGTTAAAGAACTTTGAGACACAGATATTTTAATGCAACACAGTGCAGAACACATAACTCTTTACAATATACTATGGAACTAGTAACCTAAATATTAACATATACCTTAGCAGAAAAAAATCATCCTGAATAATTTCAGTGCCTTATATTGTGCAAAGGTCAATAACCTTCCAGTTATACCCTTTCTGTACTTATGGCATTCTATGGAGAAAAAAACAAATCTTTATATATAAAAATCTTGGTACATAAGACCACAATCCTAACCTGGTGTATATTAACAAAGCTCTCTTAAAATCACTGATAAATACCTAATAACAATTTGCTTTCACTGTTTTACACGTCTTCCCCCTTTTCATGTTGCAATAAATACAGTTTGACACCATAAATCAACACTCAAGTTTTATTTTAATTTTGCTTTGGGAGATAGTAAGCAGTTAGCCTCTGCCCCCTTCTTTTTCCATATTTCTATTGATGCTGCTTTTGTGTACAGGTGCATAGGGTGATCCTTGGCTGTTGTTTTGGAGGGGAGAAGAGGGGTCTCAAAGAAATAAAAGAAAAAAAAGATACCTTTTATCTGCACCAAAAACAATCAGTTATTTTAGAATATCCTCTTCCAGTTGAAGTCTGAGCAAGCTTAGCCACAGGACTTCATGAGAGTAGAAATAAGTCCTTAATAGTCTACTGCTTCTATAAGCAGCGTACATGCTTTAGGCTATGTCATGAGCATTGCTCGACCTGGCTCTGGCTCAGGACATGGCATCGTGCCACAGTGACAAGTGCTAGTCTACCATTTTTTAGGCAGGCGTCTGCCTTTCAAATTCCTGCAAGAATTAACTAGGCAGCAGGAGCCACAGCCTTGCACAGAGGCACAAAAGCTGCCACAGCTCAAGTAAGCCCATCCCCAGGAGCTCAGCGGGAAGCCACAGCCTCCCCAGTGGCCAGCAGTGCGCATTACCTTATGCCTGGGCATGTAGAGGACTCCCATCTAGCTCGGAGTTCAGGGCTAGACAGAAGCTAAAAAACAGAGACATGAGTCGACCAGGCCACTAGGCAAGGCAGACATCCCCACCTGCAGTACGCAGCAAGGTCGCTGCCCACAAAGGACTAAGGTTGTGCAAATTCATCAGCCATATCCTACATCCGTGCAAGGTGCGAGCTTCTGTGGAATTCAGAAGCACTGCCCCACAGTCCCCCTCCCACACACTTTCGTCTCTTCAAGAGCCAGTATCACCAGAGTTGTTTTCAACCTGTGCTCTGCAGCCCAGCAAATTCCATGAATGACTTCAAACACGTCTGCAAAAGCTACCTAGAAAAGCAAGACTACTAACAGGCAGGCCTAGGCCTGTTATTACAGAGCCTACATCCCTT